AATTGGTTAAATAAAAGTTAAGTCCTTTTCTGCTCAGAGATTAAGAAATGAGAGAAGACACCTCCATGGCTACTGAGAACTAGTAATAGGAGAAATGAAGATTTTCCACTGATAATTCAGCCTCTAGCCCACAAACTCGCGTGGAGAGGCAAGGGAGCAGGCCTCAGAAGACACCTTCATGGCTACTGAGAATTAGTGATTTTGCGTGGCGCACTTGTGCACGGCACAGTTTTCTGATTTTTGCTTTAAAAAAAATTTTTTTAATAGTTTTTGTTTGGTTGTTTTTTTTTTAGTCTGATAAAGAATTTAGAACATTCATAATGGCAAAGCTAACAGAGATGGAAGAGAAGAGAGACAATGAACTGCAGAAGAGAAAGGGAATAAGGAGCTGATGAATTCCAGGAGGTGAGGAAATTCTTGCAAGATCTAAAAGAGGAATTACACACTTAACAAAAGAATCAAATGGAATTGTTAGAGATAGAGACTATAATACAGGAAGTCAAAATCTTTCTTGAAAGTATTAAAAGCAGACTAGATCATACAGAAAAAAGAATCTCAGACACAGAAAATTGCTGGCCTAGAAAAATCCACCACAAAGACAGAGAAAATGGCCCCAAAATTTAAGAATAATATACAAGAAGTACTAGATACCATCAAATATCCAAACATCTGGATAACTGGCATCCCAGAAGGTGAAGAAACTCAGAAGGGCATTGATAATCTATTTTATGAAATCCTGCAAGAAAACTTTCCAAACCTAGAGAGGCACTCAAAGATCCAGTTCCAAGAAATACAAAGGACCCCTAATAGAATCAACCCAAGAAGATCATCTCCAAGACACATTATAGCCAGACTGGCCAAAACCACAGACAAAGACAAAATACTAAGATTGACAAGAGAGAAACGGCAAGTTACCTACAAAGGATATCCCATCAGACTAATAGCAGACCTCTCATCGGAAACAATGTGAGCAAGAAAAGAATGGGAAAATATATCCAAAGTGTTAAGGGAAAAGCAATTTCAACTGAGAATACTGTATCCGGCAAGATTATCCTTCGTGTGGGAAAAGACAAGAACATTCTCAGATAAACAAAACCTGAAAGAATTTACCAGCACA